TCTTGCCCAAAGTCACACAGCAGATGCAAGATAGATTAAGGTGAAAAAAGAATCCAGTAACCCTGGTCTGGAGCTTCTGGGATACCAAGCTGGAATTTCAACTGCTCCTCTCTGGACCCTCTCCCCATCCTCTCTCCCCAGGGACTGGTCTCACAACTTTCCTAATTCTTAGAAACCAGCCTCTGTCTTCTCTGTTCCAGCAAACACCTTTGGGGGGCCATCTGGGTACAAGCCTTAACGATGGGTGTAAAGGGAAGGCTGTGAGGGCAGGCAGGGCTGTTGTTACTGAGAAGCCAAGCCACCGAACCCCAAGGGTGAGGACCCGGACCTCACCAGCAGCAGACATGATGCCAGGAGACCACCTGCCTTAGTTTTTCCTGGAGCGCTTACTGAAAGTAGTCACCCCAACTCCTTGGAGGCAGCAGCCAGAAACTGGTGTCCCCCTCCCAGGGGATTCTCCTGTACTTCCCACTGAATCACACTGCGACGAAGACCTCTCGTCACTCCAATAGAACCGCTCCCCTGATGTAAAATCCATTTCCCTGGTCAGGATTCTCATACGGGCGATCTTAGCCCACCCAAGTCAGCCGATTTAGCAGGGATCCAGGCTCCGTTCCAAAAGCTTAGCACAGGAAACCACAGACTCACCTGGCGGGTCTAGAGAGCCGGACCGCTAAGGTGAAGGTCTAGCGCCATCTGTCGGTCATTTGGGGAACTGCCTGAGTACCGAGCAGGCTGCGCAAAGCTAAGACCGCTCAGGCGAGAAACTGCCTCTTTTTTTGATAGTCTGGTTCGGTTGCTCTTAAATTTTACAAGGTCTCAGGCCCCTTGAAAAAGTTACCAGACACTAGGAAGCCTCTACCTCACGAAAAAAACACACACACATTTGTGCTGGACTTTGCATCCAAACCGGGGAGTTGGCAACCCAGAGATGTGAAGGGGTTTGCCCAAGCTCATACAGCGCACTCGTGGCGCAGCCAGATCTGGAAAACTGATGTTTCTTCCTATGCCTTTAAGCCCTCACGCTTCCCTGCCAGAGCCCTGCTGCCTTCAGTGATTCTCTGACCTGCCTGGGCGCAGCCTCCCATGCACACTAGGGTTTGCACACAGCGCTCCTTCCTTGCTCGAAAGGCAGAACCAAGGCCTGAGCATGCTGCTCCCCGACACGGTGTCTGAACGACCTCCCTAGCCAAGCACCAGGCAGGGGTGCGGAAGCTAAACTCTTGCCCAGAGTCAGAAGCTCTGAGTAGGTGGGGGACTCTTCAGAGCGGGGAGGATCTGATTCCCACAGACCAGAAGGGACAATCAGAGGGACACTCCTGGGTCTCCAGCACCCCGAGAGCCTGTATTTCAGAATAGCGAGTCCTCCCAAGAGGCACAAAGTAGATGGTGGGGTATGGCGAGCGATGGAAAAGGCAGGACTAAGAGAATTTGTGAGTCACAGATCTGAGTATACAGCTGGAGCCTAATAAAGGCATGGCCCAGCTTCCCCTGCAACTAATTCAAACACTTGTTTGGTTTGCAGTTGGACACTAGCTTCTCACACTTGAGTGCGTTTCAGAACCCCTGGGGAGGGTTTTTTCAAAATGTGATTCTCTGTTCTGCCCTGGGGTGTAGGCCCCACCCTAAAAGTTTATGTCATTAGGTCTGGGGTGGTACCCAGAGCCAGTTCGCTGGGATGCCGACCTACTTGTCTGGGAAACGTGCTTTGGGAACCCCTGGCTCACAGTGACAAATGAGACTGTCCTATCTTTGGGGAGCTCTCCCCAGTCTCGTATTGAATGCATAAATAGCCCAGCCAAGTTTGGGGCCTTAATTTCTCCAAAGAGGGACTGTTTATGCCAAGACCTGAAAATAGGGTGGAGCCAGCCCAAAGAACAGAAGAGGGCTGTATGTTTGGCTATCCAGTTAGAACATTCCGGTACCCCATCCCGGACATGGCTCATCTACCCCCCAGTTTGGATGAACTGGGCAGAATTAACCCCCTCTTACAGATGAGGAAGTCAAGGCTCAGAGAGGCAAAGGAGGTATTCAAGAACTCAGAGCAGGAAACCAGCCTAGGTCTGTGTGCTCATAGATCCCTGCCAGGGCTACCTGCACCTCTAAGCCCCTTCATAGCCCCCCACCTCCTGCCCAGGGTGGAGTTGCTTGGATGCAGCTGCTGGCCTGGCTGGCCACTCTCTAAACTCTCCCTCGCCCAAGGCCTTCAAGTGCTTTCACTGCTGGGTGAATTCAGCAGATGCCTTTCGATCGTAGCCTATTAAATTAGCCCTTCTCTGCAGCCAAAAGAAGATAATTATGTTTTCATTAGCCCTGGATAATGTATTACCCCTCTGTGGCAACCACGCTGGTGATGAACCTGCTCCATCCCCTGGAGTCCACCAGAGGGCCCTGCTGGTCCCCTGGTAAACGGGCAGGGGCAGAGGGGACAGCTTGTTTACCTGCTCACCTACACCGCAGGGATTGTGGGTGCAGCCCAGAGAAAAGATTCCAGAGCAACTGTCATCATAGTGACCACTTCTAAAGCATCTGCACTGTGCAAATGCGCCTTAGCTGGTTTAAACCTACAAGTGTTCCAGAAAAGGCTGGCATCTCCTCATCTCTCCCAAACAGGGGATCCTGGAGGAATTGAGTGAGCATAAATGCCCAGAGCAGCCTCGAAGGCACCATGGCCAAGGAGCTTTCAGGACCCTCACCCAGGGCCATCTGCTTCATGGCCAAAGTCTCTGGTCTTTTACCCCAGTGTCTGGGGCCACTAACTCTCCCCAGCATGACTGCGGAGGGTCCCCAAACACCAAGAGCCACTCCCCAAACCTCCTGATCCTCCCCCACCACCATAATAGTTCGGACATCATTCACAAGGCCAGGGTGGGCCACAAAGAGCCCCACTTTGGGGTCCCAGGACCTAAGTTTTAGCTTCTGCTTTACCACCCATTAACTCAGTGAGTGGAGCAAGTTGTCTCATGCCCAGAGCTTCTGTTTTTTCCCCCTGTAAAAGACATATAAGGAAGGAGTCATCCATCTCTTGCCACTTTGGTGACAATTCAATGGGCTATTGCTGCAAAATGTTTTGGCTCAAAACTGGTGAAATGAAAAGTGCTTGATGCAAAATAGTCACTGTTCCACTACTACAACTAGTATTGTTGCTAATTTCCCTTCATCCTACTGAGAGAGTAACAGAGTGAGAAAGGAAATCTCTCCCTCTCTCTCTCTCTCTCTGTCTCTGCCAATTTGTCTCTGTATGTGTCTGATTTCTGTGTGATTCCATCTCTGTCCACAGGCTCTGTATCTCTTTTCCGTTGACACACACACACAGCTCCAAGGCCCTGTCTTCCCAGATCCTTGTCTTGAGAACTACATAACCATTGCACCTGGACATGGACAGAATTGGGACAATGGGGCTTCCATCCCTCTCTCCTCAAATCCAGGCCACCTCTGCATTCTGCAGGCACAGCCAGCCTTGGTGCTGACCCCACTGTCTCTGGCCGGGCCTTGCCTGTCGACCTCTTTCTTGACAGTCGAGGAACAGCTGGAGTTTCAGGGTGGCAGTGCCCTACCTGGACCTCTTGTGCCTGACCCCAATACAGGCAGGCACAGCTCTGGCTCCATTTGGAGCAGGTGAACTGCCAGCCCAGTGGAGGAGCAGCTTCCTTCCCCTGGCTTCCTGATTTCCCCAGTTGCCATGGTAATTGAGAGAGCAGTGTTATGAGACCAACACCACTGAAACCCAGTGCTCAACTTTGAAACGGTTCAGGCAGGGGAATGCGTGTCCAGGATGGGAAGGGATCAAGCTCTGAGGGCTCAGCTCCAGCCTTGCCTTCCTGGGACACCCAGCCCGCCTTTTATGTCACTGTCATTATTCCCACCATCAGTCTTATTTTGGGTCGCTCTTTCTTGAGCACTTGCTGTACACCAGGCTTCACTATGCCAAGAGCTCCTCACAGTAATCGCAGGCCCATTTCACTACCCCGAAGAGCCCCAGAATCTTGGGCACGGTCAGGAAGTGTCAGGGCCAGAGCTGATGGAATTTTCTCAGGTTTTTCCTCCCAGTGAGTAGAAGACAGCAGAGTTAGGCTCGCGCGCGCACGCACACACACACACACACACACACACACACACACATCAGCTTTTTCTCTATTCCTTCCTCCACCTCCTCATCCCTCACGCCCCTTTTCCTGCCCCCCAAGTCACACCCCTCTCTCCCCTGCTTGATGTGCAAGACGCTCTGAAAAGCATTTATTAGTGACAAAGGGGGTGTTTTTCCTCATCGCCTCTTCTCCGCACAACTCGGGAGCCTGAGAGGGCTCGCCTGCCTTGCCAAGCCAAAGCTGGGGCGGAGGAAAGATCAAGCCACTCGGAGCCAGGTGCCGAGTGTGTGTGTGTCCCTGTGTGTGTCTGCGCCTGTGCAGCCTGCTCTCTTTCCTGTGTGTGTCCCTGTGTGTGTCTGCGCCTGTGGAGCCTGCTCTCTTTCCTGTGTGTGTCCCTGTGTGTGTCTGTGCCTGTGGAGCCTGCTCTCTTTCCTGGAGTCCCTCCACCCCCCGCTTCCCCAAGAGTGTGTGAGCAGCGGCGACAGTGAAATGCAAAATCCTGTGCAATCTGCCCAGGAAAAGACAGCTTTCCAGACGGGTTTATATGGTTACCCATATGTCAGGGCCCCTAAGAAAGGAAGGGAAGCTGGGTTCTCCGCATCTGCCCCTCCCCCTGGCCAGCCCTAGGCCTCTGCCCATGTGTGGGCCTCTAGGCCGCAGGTGAACAAGGCCCCTTCCTCCCTACCCTTCTCCAGATGCCTGGCCTGGGCTCTGCTCCCGAAAACACCAGAACTGGGCAACATTTCCATAACCCGCTGACGCTCTGTCTGCCCACTTAAGAGCCATGGCCAGAACCCAGGCTCACACACACACACACACGCACACGCACACGCACAGAAGGATGCCCGCTCTGCCCAACATGGGGACCGGGCATTTTGCTGTCCCGCTAAGGAATGTCGTCCCAACACCGATGTGGACAGAAATAACCATCGCTGCCCCCCATGAGACTCTGTGAGCACAGCAAGCTGCCCTCCCAAGAGTGGCCACTACATCCAGCCCCCTCCAGCCTCCCAGAAATTGTCATTGTGTGTGTGCGTGTTTCCTGATAGGAAAAAAATGGAAATTAGGTTATATAAAAGATGTATGCTTTGGAGCCCAGAGCGGCTCTTTTAATGAGGGTTGCGACGTCTCCCTCCCCACACCCATAAACCAGCCGGGTGGGACGTCACCGCTAATTCGTTTCAGCGATGATAGGATAAAGGAGGACATTAAGAAACAAATTCCCCCTCACGACCCTCGCTGAGATCCCGGATCATCCCACATATTTACGCCGCGATTCCAGCCGCCGGGCGTGGAGCGACTTAGCGCCGGGGCTCCTCGGAGGGACCGCGGCGGCCGAGCGGATGGGGT